CACACACACACACACACACACACACACACACACACACACACACACACACACACACACACACACACACACACACACACACACACAAGAAACATAAAGCCAAGTGCTGCTGCTGGGAGTCTCCAGAGTCTCTTATTAGTCCGGCTAATTTCACATCATTTGACAGAGAATTAATTCATAAATTAATCAGCTGAGACTTAGAAAATAACACCACATGTCTTCATGTAATCCTATTTCCACCTAGCATTAAAATCCCCATGCAGCCAAAAGACCATTCACCATAATCTCTCCCAGGTGGAGCCGCTGCTCTGACAACTTCTCCATTACATTCCAATATTAAACCAGAGACTAAAGAAAGGCCTCAAATGCTGACTTAAGACCTTTAAAATGATCCAGCAGATAGAGCTCAATCAGTGTTAGTGGGCAGCTGGTTTAGGATTTAAAAAGCCACATTTCAACCAACCATAACAGAGGTACTTTGTAAAAAATCACATCCCTAATCCTATTTGGGTGTTTCCAACATGGCCGACAGCTTAATGTCAACCATGTTTCTATAGCATGCTTATGAATTTGGGATTTTAAAGACAGGTGTGAATGGGGAAACATTTTCAACACCAGTACAAGATCTTTAAAAAAATAAACCATCTACTGTTACTGATACAGTAACAGAAGACATTTTTCACTTTGGTGCAACATTGGACGTCTCTCTTGCTTTGTTGTGCTTCTCTTATTGTGAAAGGGTTTTGTCACATGTCTAAAACAGGTTGGACGAATATATTGTGATTTCTTTCCTTCAGTTCTCGTGTAAACCCCCAGTGTGCTTTGTTGTCTTTAAAGTTTACTTAAGTACAAATGCTACCACTCCACGGTGACCAAAGTCAGTGACCAATGATGTCGTACAAAGGCAAGCATTCGAAAAAATGATTTGGTAATACCTCCTTAAGTCTATCCTCCTTTGTCTGATCCCCCGCTGAGTACTCGGAAAAACATTTAGTCGTCATTAACATAAAGTCTCACCTACTCACTTTGAATATATTAGGCAACATCAACAGCATAGAAATGGAAATTGTGGCATTTAATTGCAAGGAGATGTTCCAACCCTGTTAGTGTTACACATTGTTATTTTGTAGTACATCACATTTAAGACTAGCATTTAAGGAATGGAATGTATCACAATTCATTTGTATGTATTTCTAAAAAAATCTTATTCTCCACAAGTTGACAGGACATTAAGAGATGTATTGAGAGATGCTGATTTTACACCTAATCACCACACCTACGGGAATAACTTTGCTTTTGGGAGGGTTAGATCATTTGATTAGTGCTACAAATCAATAAGGAATCAAATTAATATATTATTTAGGATTATCACATTATCTACTATTTACACCCATCCGGTGTTTGGATGTGTGTGGAGCTGTGCTTCATTTTCCGTAGTGTAACTATCAGATATGTACAAATCAGGGGCAGAAATGTCCTGCCAGAGATGCAAGTGTTTTCCCCTTCCTCCTTTTCTGTAACCTTCCCTAGTCCTCCACCTCAACATTTCCAGAATCAGATGATTTAACTCCCCCTCCTTTCTGCCCTCTCACTCTACTCCTCGATTTCCAGTATCAGGTCATCTCCCTCCAGGGAGGAGTTGGTCGTGACATGAACCACCTTAACGGTACCGGCCACCGGGGAGTTGACCACCGTCTCCATCTTCATGGCCGAGAGGACACACAGCGGCTGACCCTTCTCCACCTTTCATGATTGCAGAGAGAGTTCACAGAGCATTAACAACAGGAGTCAAATGTGCAGATCACTGAACAAGCACTGCAGTCAAAGGATAACCACAAAAAAAATACCAGTCACATAAAAGCAAAGCTATCTGCAGTATAAGGAGAAAAAGGGTTGACAGTAAATTTACCTTGGATCCCACTTCCACTTTGACCTCCAGGACCTTTCCAGGCATGGGTGCTCCCACCTGACCCTTGATAGACTTCAGAGCCTTAGGATGGAACTTCATTTCCTGTGTGGAGAGACAAAGAGACATTTCATGCATCCATCTGTCCATCCAAGCCATCTGCACATGCCTGCCTCCGTTCATCCACCCATGCAGCCAACGATCCATCCATAGAGTCATTGGACCCATTGAAACCTTCCTCCCTGCTAAGCCTCCATCTACTCCTCACAGCTATTTGTTTCTATGAATAAATTCCCAAGTGCACATCAGTCATAAAATCTTTTTTTACGCTTAGATCCAACATCACTTTTTATAAGGAACTTTCCCTTTATCCATCCATTCATCATTAACCTGCAGACATGTATCCTCCTCTCAAACCATCCCATCCATCATTTATCTATACCCCCCCCCCCATCCCTTCTGTGTACCTTCATGGCAACAGTGTCTTTAACCAGCACAGATCTCAGCTGTCCGTTCAGCTCAAAGAAGACCTCTCTCTGGCCGGCCTTGTTCAGGTCACCCAGTGCCAGCGCCTTGATGTGCAGGATCTTCCCCCTCTCCAGCTCCACCTGAGATGAAACGAAGCCGGAGACAAGTAGAGGATTGAAGAGAATGAATGAATTGGAGTGAGAGTGTGAAGGAGCATGGGACAGAAATTAAGATCATGCTAGAAAATATAAATGAATACATGGGCACCTATAGCTGCACAAGTCCAGCTAAAGCGTGAAAGAAATTTGCAGAGCTTGGTGAAATGTAAAAAAAAAAAGCAAAACTTATTGAAGCGAAAAATGCACAATGTTTGCTTCTATTCCTCGTTTCCTTTTAGCCTCTCGCTGGGCTGGAATTTTTCCAAGCATGCACTTGGTGGAGGGCTGAGACACACGGACAGATTCATGAGGAGAGACTCATTAAGCCTCATTGTAATCAAACAGCTTCATAAATAAATCAAAGAGTGTGGCATCTTATGAATGTTGTATTCTACACTAATGCGCAGCTTCGTTAATGCACGACATTGAATCAGCAGCTGTAAGCACTGCACATCTGTGTTTGCAGATCTTATGGTCGGGTAATGTTTAGAATGAAAAGGTGGAGGTTCTCAATAAGCCTTTTTCACATGTTTTACTTGACAAAGTAGGAAACGCTTTGGTGTTATTAATACAATTACTAAGACGTGACTGTGATGCTGCTTTCATATGAGATGGATGGCAGAGATGGAGAACATCAACTGTGAATTGACAATATAACACCATCCATTCAATTTGTGTTTAACACAACATAAACAACAGTATAAGCTTTTACATGTTTGGTTATCACGCACTAATGTATTATTAACTGCCAAGTCTGATATATCAGCGTGTCTCAGTTGTAATTACGACTTGGATATGTTGATATGAACGCTATATACAAGTTTTTCGACTTGTAAATACAATAACTCTGATATGAACTCAGAATAAACCAGGATCCTGAAACTGAAGTAGCTAAATGGAATTCAGTAATCATTAATTGATTTCTACTGCAACAACTGATTAAACATGTCATTGTCTCTCACTTACCTTTTATAATAGGACACAAGCCTAAACAAACCAAACTTAAGAGACAAATGCACCAAACAGGTCGGGGGATAAAAGCAGCCTAAGAGTTTTACACCAGCACTCGACCTTTTAAGACACGACTCGAGGGTCTTCAAAGTTCAGCTGAAAGGGCATTTGACATGTGTTTATAAGATATTGACCTGTTGAGTGTCATTTTAAGACAAAGACACGACTCTATCTCTCTTTATCTCCAGACGCACTCCTTCCTTCTCATATCCATTCTGCTCACTGCCGCGTTCTGTCTCGCTCGTCTTTCCCTCGACACCAGCCTCTGCACTTCTTCATTTATCTCACGCCTCTTCTCAAATATCTCATCTCACCGGTCAGAATTTTTTCCCTTTTCCGTCTTTCCATTTGTCCAACTTCCTCCGTCTGGCTTTCAATCTCTCTGTTTGTCAGTCCTCCCATGTGTCGCAGCTTTCAATTTTGCAGTGTTATTTTTGCAAGCCCATATCTGGGGCCTGGCTCCGTCTCTCATGCCGTTGTTAATTTCCCTCATCTGCCTCTTTTGGCTTCTCTTTACTTTGTCTGTCTTTTCCTCTGCTTTTACTCGACCCTTCCCCTCGCATCCTTTTCTGTTCCTCTCATCACCGTCTCGGCTGTTGAGTCTCCATTGATATTCCAAACTAAGTCAGTCAGAAGACGGAAACATGTGCTGCTGGAGGTATGTATTGATCTCAATTTTACTCTGCCTCTGTCTTTCTCCGACTCTTCATCTGCTTCCCTCGCTCTCTTGCTTGTCCCTGGCACTCAATCTTCACCTCTCCGCTTCTCTCTCCACCCTCCTCTACGCTGAACTTCTCTCCGGCTTGTGCCGTTTTGTCAGGCTCATGGCAGCACTTTGCAAAAAACAAACTGCCGCCTTCCCCTTTCCAACTGTGTGGCTTCAACACTACGCCTCCTCACAACTGTTGCCCATGAAAAATACAGTATGCGCACTCTTTGAAGAGTTGCACAAGATTTATGGACTCTTTTGAAGATGATTTTGTCTAAGATGTAACCGTGTGTGTATGCCAAAGTTTTACACAGAGTTAGACTTCAGTGCACTGGGTCGATATATCGAAAAACACCAGAGATGCATTAAGACGTTCACAGATTAATCAGACAAGCTCACACACTCACTGCTTACTCCCACCTGATACACACTGACCTCCCCCCTAACAGTCTGCTTTCATTGTTAAACCAACTCCAGGTCATATACCAGGGCTTATTATCTTCGTGCCCAACACAAATGCATCCCAATTCCACCCTACCGCCCCTATCTTTAGACAGTACGGTATGAACTCTATAGTCTCATTGTCTATTGTTACATTTAGTGTATAAAAACTTGCACTTTACTGTATTTGTACTACTGGAAATGATGCAATACATGCACTGAGCTACATTAATCAAAAGTGTGACTTTAGATTGCCACTTGTCAATTAAAATTGACAAATAGAGAGCTTATTCTCAAGAATTTATACTTGTTTTTTGTTCTCAGAGAGCTTCCTCAAGCCGTCCCGCCACAATCAACAATGCGATGCATTTATACCAAAGCACCGCCTGCTGGAACATCCGTCTATGAGGCATCTACAGTGAGCGCTACGCGTCAACTTGCCGGTGCAATCAGTTTATCGTGTATGTATAAAAGAATACTTTATACAAAAAGAATATGTTTGTTTGAACTCTGAAATTGTGTCCCCAAAACCCTCAAAAACACGACATGAATGGTTTCAAAGTTCTATCAAACCCAACTCCAACCACCCAGCCCACCCCCCCCTTTTTTGTTTCCTATTACCATACATGCGATAGCATCTCTCGTGCATTATGTATGCTCCATATCTCAGTGATGCATCTGCTGTGTTCTCATCTATATGGCCCTCGCATGCATTCAACACAGCACCCTCAAGCACAGAGCTTCTTCTGTCAAATTCAACTGCGTACGCATTCGGTGCTAAAGCATCTCTGACATTGAAACAAGTTTCACAGTCTGCTTCACGTCATGTCTCAGATATGACTTTAATACTGACAGTGACAGAGTAATGAGATTACTGCGGCCAACGCAGCTCCGTGTGTTGGTGCCTGCGCACATTAGCACTGACAGGGTGTGTGAACGACTGGCTCCGTGTTTGTGCAGATCTGTGTTTATATTTCCATCAAACATGATTAATACCACAATGAGTCATCAACACATGCCAGATAGGTCGAGATCTTTGTTTGTGCTCTCCAGCATGCGTGCGTGGGTGAAGGACACGAGCGACGGGCAGAGCCGTCACCCGTGTGTAGGCCTGAGTGTGCATACTATGCGCTCTAAATGGCCTTCAGATGCTGTTTCACAAAGTGGTCATTTGATTTAAAAAAATAAAAGACGATGATGTAGGACTCAAAATCTTTACAGAGCATTAAGAAATTATGCAAAATAAAAAAGTGGGGAACAAAGCGTAGTCTTTGTGTCGTCCCACCACGTTCACTGCACAAAGAGAAGTCTTGCAGGCTCGCTGTTCACTTTTTGGCTGATAAAGCGCTCCAACTGGATTCTCAACAGGCTTGAAATGAAGTGCTTAACAATACCAAATGATTACTGTGAAAGACTTAATATCTACTTCGCACAACATTGACAACTCTGGGCTTTAGGTCTAAGTCGGCGCTCAAAGAGATTTGGTGCTTGAATCGGTTTTGATAAAGATTTCCGTTGTGTGCCTCACACACACTCCAGCTGCCAAGAGCTCACAAACAGATGTTGTTCCAAATATACAGGTAACAGTGTGGTGGCCAAAGTTCAGCAGGAGTCCTCTGTGATGGACACTGGCCGTCTGTTGCTGCTGTCCCTGTGGATTCACCACAAATGCCAATAAAATTCACAACCACAAGCTCAAAGGTTGATGCCTCACAGATAATTTAACATTAAAAAACACATTGTTCTGTAACTATGGTGTCCTACTGTATTTATTGCATCAATCCTGTAGTTTTCTGTTTATTCAGTGCTTTTAACAGGCATATGTCTATATAGTGGCCGCTTATATAACTCTACATACACATGTATTCTGCAAACAAAGGTGTACCAGAGCTTTCTAGCTGGAGGACTGGGCTGGGGTATGCATGCTGGAGTGCATGAGTGCTATTCACCTCAGGGCTCATCTCTGCGTTAACAGTGCCGGCTATAGTTCTACAAAGCAATCAGCATGAGCACAAAAATAGATATGCTTCTTATGAGCACCTACTAATTACCATTTGTGACAGGCTGACACTCTACAACACCCACACTATCTGTCCGTGCGATTGACAACAGCAGTTTCCCTCTTGATTTGTATCTCAAAAGGTTGCAGCAGCAGTCAACCTGCCTCTTTCGTGTATAACACTCGCATCAAAGCGGCATGGGTATCACATGCACACACCTCATATCACCAAAAAAAGTCAACTTGTCAGGAATTGAGGCAACTCAATTTCCCCCAGCGATGTCTATGTTTTAATAACCCAGATATCAAATACAAGGGAGATGTGAGACCCGAGGACAGTGACGCAACATGCATCCAACGGTGTGTTCTTATTGTGGGCAGAGGCATTATTAGTTTCAAGATAGCGACACTTCTGAACAATGTCTATACCTACACACAGTGAAGTATTGATTCTGAGACTTTCATCAGACAAACTTTTAAGGCCTCAGCACTGAGGTGTTGTGAGTCTCGATGCTGTGATTATGTGTGTTCCCATATGTCCTGTAGGTCACCTCTCTATTGATACACAAGAAGTGATTACCACAGTACAGTGATATCAATGGATCTGCCTCAGCCTACTTTCATGAACATCACTTCTGAATTGGTTAAATTAAATGGAATAGTAATGACAACAGCGAAATCAATTGTTCCGACAGTAATAGGCCCCATCCTGTCCCTCTATGTACACATCTGACTGAGACACATAATACATAAACACAAAATTCAGCACTAATATCATTATGTGGATGTCACACAAATGTCTTATTAGAAAAACAGTGAAGGAGGCAATCAGCTAGTATCTTGTCTGTCAGAGATAAAGTGCTGGATGCCCCGAAACCTTCTCCAGCTAAATGAAAAATCATTTTGGCCATCCAAAGTCTAAACATCTTGGCCTACAAATGTAAAAAATAAATCTTGTAGAAATGTCAATCCTGCAGCCAGAAACCTGAGGGTAATATTTGACCTTTCATTTGAAAAAAAAAAAAAAAAAAAAAAAGTTTAAAAAGTCATTCAATCATGTCTTAATCAATATGAGTATCATCTTTTTCTCTCTCAGCCTGATCTCAAGAAGGTCATTCATGCTTTTATATCATCTCGGTTGTACTTTTGTCATTCATTGTGTTCAGGGTTAAGCCTCAAAGCGCAGCTGCTCGGTTCTTCACAAAGACAAGATTTCAGCCCAGCCTCTCTTCACTGGTTACCAGTAAGTTTCACAATTGATTTTTCAGATATCACTGATCAGCTTTAAAGCACTCTGTGGCTTATCTCCAAGCTGTATAGCTGCTCCACTGTGAGCCAGAGCACCGCCCTCAGATCCTCAAGAAGGGCTCTGCTGGCTGATCATAAGTCCCAAAGACTAAAGGAGACTGTGCTTTTGCAGTCAGGACCCCTCAGCTGTGGAACTCACTGCCTGAAGATCTGTGCTGGATAACATTATAGTTTAACATTATATTTATTTTTATAATAATACAGGAGCTTCTCTTTCCCCTTGAGGAATTCTACCGACTAACAGAAAAAAAGACATCTAACAGAAACATCATGCTGCTTTGTGACAGGTCATTCTTTTGACGCGTTTTCATTCCATCTCTCGCTCGGTCCCGCTAATCGGACCTGATCTGCCGGGAGTACCCATCGTTGTGACAACAGTGGGGAGTTTGTTTCTGTGGGGATGAATGATGTTTGAGCAGAAATCGGAGAGTCGGAAAGTTCCAAAAAAAATGACAACGGTTCTGATGGAGTGTTGATTAGATAAACAGCAGCAAGGGGAAGGTGACTAGTGAAGGTGGAAAAACAAAACAACAGTTCTGCATCTGGGAAATGGTTGAATGATGAGTTTTTCCACTTAGAGGGAATAAAGAAAAGTGAGTCACTGAAAGCTAAGATGGGTTAGATACAAGGTTACTTGTTTTAAATAAGTGACGGTTAGAAAATCGCTACAACTACCAGATTGGAAGATGGATATTAAATCTATTTATCCTGTTCGACAACTGCAGCCTTTTGTTGGTTATTTAGCCATTTTTGTTGATGAATATTGTAGGAATTAAAAAAAGAACAGCACAGAACAAACGGTGGCTTCTAAACAAATAAACACGCTAAAACAAACTGCTGAAGCTGCCAAGGCTCTTAATCAAAACATCCAAAGGACTTGTTCTAATCAGTGGCTCGTGGTCTGACTGAAGCTTGTCCTGCCACATTTGTGACCATTGCATCAAATGATACACACCCACGGGTGATTAACGAAGAACGGAGGGTGGGGTGGGGGGGGTCTGCCTGTCTCTGGGTCAATCCTAGATCAGAACAATCGATGCAGCTCCTGATTCTTTGCTAACAATACAACAGCAAAGCAGCAGTGTTTCCCCATGTCCCTCGTAATATAAAAATCAATTAACAACAAGCCTAGAAGCGTTCTGCTGCAGTGAGATGGAGCAGTAATTAAACGTGTTTGCCTTTGGCCGCTCTGAATCAGTCATTTAAATCTTACTCATAATCTTACTCATAATGAGAGAATCAAGAGAAAGTATTGAAAGGATCAAAAGAAGAGGGATGTAGATGGAAAAGCTGAATTGCAATCGATGAAGTGCTGGAGAGAGGAGCGTGAATGACGCAGAGTCGGGGTGTCGCAAAATACACTGATATTGACTGTAATTGTGATATTTTAAAAATTTAATATTGATACCATGGTAATAATACACATATGATAATGGCTTGTACATAATCCAGCGACGCTTAAATTAGTTAATTTATACAGTTTGGGTTACAGACCCTCCCTACACTCACGTATTGTGAGTGTAAATTATCCATCAAAAAAGAGACAAAACACACAATAAACAAAGTAAAAGATGAATTTCACTGCTGGCATTATTATTATCTTCTCGCAATAATATCGTTATCCTGAGTTCTTTTGGCCGCCATAACTGTGTAGTAGAAAGTTGATACTGTGACGTTCCTAATGCAGAGTATATAGCTTTAGTGAAAATGGTGAAAGGTAGCAGATGGCTGGAGGGAATTGAGATGACCTTCAATGTTGTCATACAAATGTTTTATTTCATTAACGCAGAAAAGGGCTCGAGGGGATTACTTAATTGAAGCTATTGAAATAATGACGATAAATGAAAGCTAAAGGGATATGAAGACGATGAATCAGCTGTCCCTGTGGTAGCACAACACTGATTTCTTTCAATACAGAACTGTAAATGTCATCGTGGAAGTGGATTTTAAAAACACCTTGAACATGTTTTGGTCTTTAAAAAGCTTGAATTTTGTCTAAAAAAAACCTTCTATGGTCCGGAACATTACCACAATCCTTCTGAAACCCTTTATGGACAGTAACCATGAAAGGGTTGTTCTCTTTGGAAAGGAAAACAGTTTCAGGCACCTGATGTACCACAGTTTAAATTTCCATTCCGCACAGGAAACTCTTATGTTGTAATGTTTAAATTGACAATTCAGGTACAAATAAAGCTCAAATCTAACAAAACATGTCTTTACTGATCACATATAGAGGGACTGTCTCTCGTTGTCTTGTACCAGCACAGCAGACATCTTGAAATATTTCCGCTGACTGTATATTCCTGTACGTTATAGTTGACAGGAAATGGTTTGCTACTTAGATGCCGATATATTACGTGGCAGACAATCATCATATCCTCTCACCGACAGCTTGTTACATTCCCGTGCCTCACTAATTTGATTGCATGCAAAGCAATTCAACTCGTGAGTTTTATTTTCTTCATCGGACGGCATGTTCAGCTGCCTCCCTGTTGGAAGATAAACAGTTGGTACAAGCTTTAGAAATGTGTAACTGTTGTATTTTGGTCTGCGATACGGGCCCTCAGTGCCTTCCACCGGCCCACTCTCAAACATCATACGACAAAATGAATCTGTTATTTCTGTGCGGGAAGGCCAATATGATGGCCGGAGGGATTAAAATGCAGTTTGTTGTTCCCTTGATATCGTGTTAATATCTCTGTCCTCCCCCACTTCACTGTGACTCTGCACCAAACTGTATCAAACCTCCTCCACCTGCAGTGATGGAGAAATAATTTCCCTTTGATAATGTCTGTTCTTTATGGAACCGTTGTTACATCACAACTAATGAAGCAGCTAAATGGACAATTTAATACGTTATTAATAGTGTGGACTACGTCTTCATAGTATTAGTGACAGTTTGTGACTGATACATACATGTTATCACACCATTGATTGTGATTTTTCCCTATCGATCCCCTATCGTTTAAGTATTCCTATAGTTCATTTCTTTATCTTAATTTTCATAATTACAACAATTCAGACATCTATTACAGTTAACTGTAATAGATGTCTAAATTGTTGGACACTGCTAAATCAGTTTTTGATCCTTCTCGAGCAAAAAAAAAAAAAAGAAATGCTAATGTTAGAATGGCATCAGTACATGCGATTTAGTACTGTACTTTCATAAAATAGTACGTACAAAAAAAGAAAAGGTCAAAACATGTGCCGCAAAGGCCAAGATGCACTGACTTTTATCACCAAAACACTGCTTCCCACACCTCCCACAATGCAACAGTGACCCTCCGTGTCTGCTAGATGCACACGTTATGGTCTAACGATCTTAAACGGTGTGTAATATTTAGGCGCGTACCTCAAACTCCTCGGCGATCTTGGGTCCATCTAGGAACAGCCTGGTGCTGAGACAGTCCACTGGACCAAAGTTAGCTAGAAGAGAAACAGAGATGGCCTTAATATCAGCAAACATTACTTTATGATTTTGACACTGGGCATGCAAACATAACTACTTCAATACCTGGAGACATCAGGCTATGCCAGCTTTAAAAAGGGAGATCGTTTTGGACCAATATTTATTATCAGAAATAGAATATTCAATAAGACTGAGGGGTAAGTGGATTCAGGGGTCTGTTCACTCTTAAGCTGAAGTAGTGAAGGAACAGCTGTACACAATTAAAGCTCCTCATAAAAAGGGCCCCACCAGTTCAATGCTAACACTTCCTCACTCCTCAAAGCAGCAATTAAGCTCGTGTAAATCCAGGCAGCTGAATGTTACTGCAGCTCCTTTAAACAACTTCCAGTCAAGTTTTAAAATGCGACTGCTCTAGAAAGATTCCTATCAAACTTCCAACATCACAGCCTTCCCCAGAACCATGCTGCTGCTGACTGCATTTACTTCAAACCTGCTAAAGAAATGCTGTTACTGCTTCTGCTGATTTCTCCCTCTGGCACCAGCTCTCGCTGTTCTGGTTTCGTATATGTGCATTTTGTAAATTCACCACCCGAGACAGGTGAGTGTGTTGCCCCCTGAACTGCCAAATACAGCAACTGCAAAACTTTTCTACCTGATGGTTGAACTCGCATGTTCTCCGAGCTAATTTCAAGCCCCAGTAATAATACAAATGAGAATGTGAGCCTGTGTGTGTGAGAACGAGACGAAATGCCATTCGGTACAACAAGATCCAATTTGATCAAACGCACAACAACAACAAAAATTGTAATAAACAATTTATTGATGCCTCTCCGTAATCCAAGTATCTGAATACAAAGATCCATTATGAAGACGGCCCACTCACCAGTGAACTCCTTGAACTCCTGGAACACCTTCGGGTACATGGCGGCTGACATCACATCCTCAGGGCTAATGTCATCACCGTGGGCAGTTCGGAGCCCCTCCTCCAGGACTTTGAAGTCCATGGGTGGCAGAGAGGCGCCTGGACGACCCTCGATACGTTTGAGGGACTTCAGCACCTGGGAGAGGAGGTTAAAAGAGAAGAGGAGCGAGGAAGTTAAAGGAGAGTAAACAAGAGAAGGTAGGAGGGCACGAGAGAAAGGGGAAACAAACTGATTGCTAAAAGTTTTATTTAAAGTCATATATTCTTCATGAATGCTTCCCCACACATAGTTTCCCCATGGGAGTCTGAACCATGTGGGATGTATTAAGTGCTGGTAAAACATTCACAACTCTAGGTCTGGATAAAAGCTGCACCCTGTCAAGGCACTGAAGTGACAGAGAGACTAAAGGAGGAGGAAGATAGAAACACATGGGGAGCTGTGGTGGGGGGGACGGAGAAAGGGAGGGAGAGAAACACTTGAATTGGAGAGAATATCAAACTCAATGCGAGTTATATTTATTTCAAAATTTGCATAAAAGTGACACCGCTCTTGTATTAAGATCTGCAGTGATATCCGCTTTTATGCAACTCAACCTTTCCTCTCCATTCAAGTGTCATCACAGATGACTGCAGTGCTGCCGCACATGTGACACATCATCCTAGTCTTCTTCTTGCAAACGGCAGAGGAGAAAGACGAGAGGAAAGACGGAAAGAAAAGGGAAACTAAAGCACCAATGATATGATATCGTATCTGCCCACACAGGTGTTGGTATCTGACAACTTGTAGAGACACCGACCGATCTGAGGGCATGATGGTGTCAAGACACAGGCGTTTGACCTAAGGGCTGCGGTTCTGTTTTTATTTTCCCTGGTGTCACAGTCCACACACACACACACACACACACACACACACAC